CACCAAATATCACACAACATACTAGTATTATTGATATCACGTACACTTACGTTTTGGTAGGGCACATCTCCGTGAAACCTGTCGTGCAGGTACCTTTCCACGAGACTAGTCTTCCCTCCGTATTCTTTGCCGAGAAGAACAACTTTGAGATCTACACGGCTGCCAGCCATGACGTGTAGATTACTAACAGTTCGATCAAACAACGCTATACACTCCCTATTCTATGATTATGAAAATATCGAGACTTATCTTCCGTGTTCCACAATTTCAACTACGGATTTCAATAACAAATCAGAGACGAATCTTTACCGAGACTGTTCTCAACGCATCTTTGGTATATCAGGTTTACTGCAGGCGACAATACGAGGTCATACGATGCTTCATTAGTGGGAAACCCTCTTGAATTAGTTGTGATGTCACCGACGAGTTCTATGGTTCCATTTAAGTTTTTCTATTTTTAGAACTCTAAGGACGCATGTGTAGAAGCTGTGATATCCCATGGTGCTTAGCGCACAAACAGCTCAACATGGCTGCGTTGTCGGAGTCGCGTTGATAAACAGGATTTGCAGTGAACTCGGTAAATATATGACCACGCTGGGATTTGTAATTACTGATATATCTTATCGTGTAATACATAAACACGCTACATCGTGGTCAGATTTTCAATTCTTTGGCGCTAATGATCAGTGTGTTTACGTTTGCAAAGCAAGTTAGAACTTAGAAGATGGAAAATTACGCCCTCACAGTTGATAATCAAATATTCTTGTAAATGCTGTGGCTCAGCTCAGCATGACAAAAATAGGCTCGGCCGCCTTAATATGATCAAAAAATTAATTGCGGCAAGTAAAATTAAAAAAAATAGTCATAGTAAATAAATAATTGACAATAGGAAAAATATAATTGTTTGTATTAATGTCAAAGTTTCTTTATAACTTTGGGATATTTGATTTAATATATTTTGTTGACAGCCTGAGGACTCAATGCAGTGATGGCTAATAGTAAATATGAATATGTGAGACACTTTGAAACCCAGGACAGATGTCTTCCAAACTGTTGGATAGTGGTGAGATTGGACGGCAAAAACTTTCACAAGTAAGTTAAAACTATGGTTTGAAGCATCAAAGATATCACAGTGCTTTGTGTTTGATGTGGGTTCCATGCATCTGAAATTGTACTGCTGTTGTCTTTATAATTGCCCAACTCCACGAAATAAATCTGTTAATCTGGTTCCTGGCTGGAACGAAGCTGTAAAGGAAGTTTATGATACATCCAGGGACGCTTTTAAACGGTGGGTGTCATTTGGTAAGCCCCGTTACGGTCCAATCTATGAATTAATGCGCAAGACCCGGGCTCAATTTAAGCGTGTATTTCGTGCATGTCGTATGGATGAAGACCGCATTAAAGCTGATAAAATTGCTACACATCATTGTAATAAAG